TAGGTTAATCTCCAGTCGTGAGCAACACACATATAAAAATTGCGCGTGCTTTAAGCAACAGAACTGGGCCAGGCGAGTTGGTGAGAGCCAACCTTTTGGCCCAGCTCAAAAAATGATTTTTTCTTTTGCTTAAGCTACAAGCGATTCTTCAAAAACACTTTTCGACAGTTTGAACTGGGATAGAATAGAGGATGGATTTTGGTACAAACAGAAAACGAAAAAACATAAAACACAGAAAGAAGAAAAAAACAAGACAAGACAAGAAACAACACACAAATTACGCTAAATGGAGAACATACAATGAAGTCAGTTGTAGATCGATGAGAATGGAAGACATTCAGCTTATAACTAGAGCAGTGAGTGAGTTGTGTGTGAAGAGTTGCAGGTGCAGTACCCAATCAAGGAAACCGTCACCTGAGCCGTGTACTAACAGCTAGAGGCAGGACGGTTTCCGAGCGGGGGGATTGGAACCTTTAACTTGATTTTGTATTCGTGTGTGTGTGAGATGTGGTGCATGCAAGCTGTTTGTGGCTAGTTGAGTATATTGTCTCTGGATATACCTTTGTGTTACCCAAACGGTATTGGTCTTCGGGTAAATCGATAAACTTAATGATAATATCAGTGGCCTTTTTGTCTTTGTCAACGCCCTGCAATAGCTTTGGGCACATGATCTTGTAGCTGTATGGGTTGGTAGTATTAAATGGTATTTTTTGTATTAATTGTCAAGTGTTTTGTTGTTTTTGTAAAGTTTTAAACGTTTGTTAGCGCATGTTGTTTACTACTACCATAACTAGTTATTCAATTAGTATATACTACGAGCTAAGGAAAAGTTATCTCTAAGGTAATGCTACCAAATCAAAAGTACCAATATGTTGCTTTCTTTTTGGGGAGGGGGATTTCTTGGGTAGGGATTGTTTGGTTCGACCTTTTCTGTAAAGGTTTCGTTTTTGAGGGATATGTTGGATGTATAGCACGTATATGTCCTTATTTGTGTATGGATTTCGTGTACATATACCAACAGAAAAAGAGACAGACAGAAAGAGAGAGAGAGAGAAAGAGAGAGACATGCGCACAGGGCACACAGAATACAACCCTAAGCTTTCTGCTTAGTTTACGGCTTAAGATCCTGTGTGCCTGTGTGTGTGTGTGTGTTTGTATGTGTGTGTGTGTCTGGACATCTGTCTGGAAGCCATATACGAAGTGTTTTTGTTGAAGTTGAGTTATTCAGCTTTTTGATATTGTTTGATTGTAAAAAAAGAAAATTGTTTCGTGCCTTTGTGTTACCCAAACGGTATTGATCGTCGGCCAACTCGGTCGATTCGACGAGGATTTTCGTGCATTTCTTGGGATCCTCAATACCCTTGATACCCTTTGGGTTCAGGATTTGGTAGCTATATGTTGTTCACGTATAACATATACATATATAAATGAATTTCATAAAAATAAACATAGCATCGTGTCTTTCACTACAGTTCGCTATATACGATACATATATAACTATGTTGGATTAGTATAACTAGCTTATATCTAGTGTTATTTACAGTTGATCTGAAAGTCTCGAGCCACAAAAAAATATAGAATCAAATAACTACTTCGAACTCGAACCCATGCTGCAGAACAGGGTTTTATTCTCAAAGGGTTTGGGAATCGGTTTGTTGTGTGCATATGTGTGTGTAGATGTGTCTTGGTCTAAGTGGGTGCTGGGAATCGCATAACATTGGTGTAGAACGGAGTTTCTTTTTGGCGGCGAGGGGGGGTGGGATTGTTGGGGATTTAACAATCATTGTGCTGAATAGCGCCCCTAGCAAGGTTTTGTTTCTGTTTTCTGAAAGGGCGCCCAAAAAATTGGAACTGCAGAGTACGTCTCTGGCAATAGAAAAATGAGAATATATATTGTATATACGGAATCTAGTTGTGTGAAATCCGTCAAGTGTACGGGAGATAGATAGATACGAAAGAACGAGCGAGAGAAAGAGAGAGAAAGATACGACAAAAATACTACTTGGAGGAGTAGAATGTTTTCAAAAATAATGTATATAGGAGGTACGCAAAATGCATTTCAAAAATAGGTCAAGAATCTGTGGAACGCGACTATGCCTTAGTGTGTCCAATACGATACATATCGGGATCCAATGTTGTGGATTCCAATATAAGTGAGCCACACTTCTTGGGATCATCAACGCCAACAATACCACCTGGATTCAGAATTTGATAGCTGCAAATGAAATTTCATTCATAATAATTTCTTTTTTCTTTTTGAATGTGTACACTTGGGACCACTTGTGTGTGTAGTTGTTGTGTGTAGGTGTGTGTAAAAGTTCGGATGCTTGCGCGTTGGCGTTTTGAGGCATCCAGTTTTCGTTGTATTATTGACTACACATATAAATATAATGAATATATATACATAAAATTGAGCCATCCACTCATATAGAACAATTTCGAAATTGAAATAGCCGAATATGCAAACAATATATATATATTGAAACTTAATCATGCCTTGGTATGACCCAGACGATAGAGATCTTCATTTAGCTCGGTTGTCTCGATCAACACCTTGGAAGCTTTCTTGGGATCTTCGAGATCCTTAATGCCGCGCGGGTTCAGAATCTGGTACCTGTTGATACATTCATTGAGACATCAAACAAATTGTGTGTATAGAGACATAGACCATGCTACATTTAAGTTGAGTCCACCTCGCAAACAAATAATTAAATAAATCGAAGAACAACATGATCACACGATCACACAGCACTTGAACAAGAACTGGTACTGGAACTGGTACATGGTACATGGTACATGGATTGGTATACAAAGTGAGGAAATAGTGAGTGCAATAATAAAATAATTGAGATATACATTTGGATTGGACCTTGGGGACTGACACTAACTGACTAGCACATAAATATATACATCAAATTATGCGTGCCTTGGTGTTACCAATGCGATACAAGTCTTGGTCCAGTCCAACGGCTTCCAAACACTTGGTGGCAGCGTTCTTAGGCAGCTTTTCAGCTGCCATAGCAGCGGGTGCCAGAATCATATAACTAAAGTTAATTTCAATAGAATTTTAGCAAGTTAATATTATTCAAGATACTTAAGAGAGAGAGAGAGAGAGTAGAAGAGTAGTGAGAGGAGGCCAAGCCCCATTAGCTCCAGTGTATATACAAAAACTTGTGCTCCATAAAGCTAAGAGTATGTATTATATAGTATGTATGTATGTATTAACTAACTGATAAGTATGTCTAATATCTATGTCTAATGTCTATGTCTAATGTCTATATGTGTATATGTTTAGGTGTGGACTTACCGCATCTTGAAGTCGGGGTAGACCATTCTGTTGGGGAAACCTTTACGGCAAATACGGATACCTTCAAGCACACCGTTACAAGTCAGCTGGTGCATAACCAAGTGAGCATCAACCATGCCAGGCTGTTTCATTTCATTGGGAATGATGCAACGGACGAAGTGAGGCTGTGTCGAGCGCAGAGTTGTCATCAAGCTGTTCAACTGCTCCTTGTAGGCAGACGAGACAGTGGCGAAGCCACCACCCTTCTTGCCACGACCGCCCTTGGCCTGTTCACCGCCGCCGGACTGGCCAGGGTGATCAGCGAAGATTTCGATGAGCAGTTTGTTCTGCGACTTCTTGAACTGATCGACAACAGTGTCGTTCAGGGGATCCTTGTTCTTCTCCAACCAACCGGTGATGTTATAGGCGACAACACCAGCATAATGGCCGATGGCAAAGTGAGCTGCCTGCTGGCCGGGCTTTGGTGGCTTGGGCTTCTGGAATGGAGCCGACTTGCCCAAATGGGTGTTGGTCAGCTTCTCCGAGAAGGTCTGATCGGTGGCCTTGGGGAACATAGACTCTTCCTCAAGAATCGACAAGATACCCATAGGCTGCAGAAATGAATAGACAAAATCGTTGATTAGTATACCTGCAAAGGGAGCTAGAACTTCTGTTCTTAGTAAAAAGCACGCATTAGACTGGAAGCAACATAACGCACAAACAAGACTAAACATTTAGTTCGAAAAATTAATCAATTAGTACATATAACTTACCCACTCGTTAGTTGAATATAGCTTATACGCATATTAGATCTATTTAGTTGTTGTTGTTTGTTTGTTTATTTAGGCTAGGCATTCTTATGACTATGGTTATAAAATCTTGCAGTGCAATTTTTGGTTAGAATAAAGATCTATACAACAAGTACAGGTGGAGTACTTTTGCAATTGTGTATTATTGGTCAGCTTAGGCTATCTGTCTCTGAGATAGTTGTGGCCCTGTACCTTTTCAATCAAATCAATACACAATTGCAGATCCATGCCGAAATCAATGAAGGTCCATTCGATGCCCTCCCGCTGATATTCTTCTTGTTCCAAAACGAACATGTGATGGTTGAAGAATTGTTGCAGTTTTTCGTTAGTGAAATTGATGCACAATTGTTCGAAACCGTTGTACTGTATATCGGAAACGGAACAATATTTAACATATATAGCCGGGTTAGTCAGATGGTAACAAGTATGTATGTGTGTGTGTGTGTTAGTTACGTGGGTTTCTTATTTCTGCCCCTTAGACGTGTGTACTTCAACACGTTTGTCGAAACATAGATTTGTTTATGGTTATGTGTGTGTGGGCGGGTGGGGGTGGTTGGTTGACTGACTGGAGAGTAGGTTACGCTTTTGGGCGCACTTCTTCCAAATAGAGCTGCAATGGGTAACGCTCTTCAAAGGGTTCATCAGTTCTAGATGGCTTTCCCAAAGAGTAGTCGACGGGCTTATACTATATTTATATACAAATAACAAACACTTAGGTGCTTAAGGAAAATGGCAGGCAAGTCTGTAGAGAGAGAGACGTCGACGGAGCCGCGCTGAACGAACCTTTTCAATCAAATCAATACAGGCCAACAAGTCCATACCGAAATCGATGAAGGCCCATTCAATACCTTCCTTCTTGTATTCTTCTTGCTCCAAAACGAACATGTGATGGTTGAAGAATTGTTGCAACTTCTCGTTGGTGAAGTTAATACACAGTTGCTCGAAACCGTTGTACTAATTTGTGCCCGGGATTTATTTGTAGTGAAAGGTAAACATTTAAAACAAGTGCATAGATAATATGGTGTGCTGGGTGTGCTTAATAAAGTGCGCCCTTACATAACAGGGAAAATAATAATCTGTGCTCTGTGTGGGAAATAAGTGCTTTTATGTACACACACAACATGAACGTTTTTTTTTACCTGTTCTTTGCTTTCTTTTGGTTTTTGGTTGCCTATGCGTAGAGGGTGCAGGTGCTATGCCTTGGAAAAGATATTCGAATATTCGGTGCTAAAACACACAACAAACAATCTTTTGGTGCAAGAAGGACACATAACATTTGGAGGTGGGTATATTGCGTTTATGCACACATATATATATAGATAAGCTCAAGCACCTTTTCAATCAGTTCGATACAGGCCAGCAAGTCCATACCGAAATCAATAAAGTCCCAGTGAATACCCTCTTTGGTGTATTCCTCTTGTTCCAAGACGAACATGACATGGTTAAAGAATTGTTGCAATTTCTCATTGGTGAAGTTAATACACAACTGCTCGAAGCCATTGTACTACGTTGGTTTGGAGGAATGGGGAATATTTACATAATATATATTAAGCAGCTCTAAAGTTTGACTTTTTGTCATTTGGTGTAATTGAGTTGTGTGTGCATGGTGTGCGTAGAGTGCACCTAATTGGAACTAATCCAAAGTATTACCCAAGTAAACCCAATCCTAGCTTTTAGAGAGATGTGTTAGCAGTTCGATGTCAATGATACAAACCGGATAAAAATCCGATGTGGGCTCATTGACAGTCGCATCAGCTTATCAGCTAGACCTATGACAGGAATTCTATGAAGAGAATCCTTTGAAAGAAATCCTATGTCATGAATGCTATGCAAGAAATTCAATGCCAGAAATTCAATGACAAAATTTCTATGACAGAGAATACCTTGTCAGAGATCACATGGCGGAAATCTTTTGTCAGGAATCCTATCACAGAACACTTGGCCAAAAGGCATAGCTGGCAAGCCCACGTTGTGATCCAGTCCGAAAATACTCACGTCGAAGATTTCAAAACCAGCAATATCCAGTACACCAATGAAATGCTGACGCTTCTGCTTGGTATCCAGAGTCTCGTTACACTTCTTGACCAGCCATTTGAAGAGACGATCGAAGACACCCTTGCACAGAGCACCAATGGAGTTGGTGACCTGCTGGACGTTACGGCCCTGGGTGACGAACTCGTTACCGACCTTGATGCGGGGCTTGAGCAAGTTCTTGTACAGCTCAGCGGTGTCGCAGCCGAACAGCTTAGACACACGGCCACCCTCCTCCTCACCATCCTGTTCAGCCTGCTCCTCGCGACCACGTTGCTTGAACTTCATGCCACCCATATGCATGACAGCGGCGGTGATCTTGTACACATCCTCCTTCTCCTGCTTGGTGAAGCCCAAGATGTCGAAAGCTTGCTATATATGCCGGGACGGTTATAAAATTCATATTTTGAAAATTAGTTTTTGTTCATTTTTCGCTCAGGTGTTTAGTGGAAGGGTTTTCAGCATTATTTCTGGGTATTTATTACAGCGTTTTCTTTTTATGTTGTTGAGTGTAGCTTATGACTAGATCGTGCAACATGCATAAGAAAACAAATTAACAACTAGATATCCAAAAGTACTTGCGGCATAAATATATATATATATAAAGCGCTCAATTAGTAGACCTATATAAAGTGCTAGGTATTTGTTTTGTTTTTTTTTTTTACCAGATAGCTTAGGTATTCCGGAATCGATAGACAGCATAAATCAGCTGGTGCTTGTTGGCTTATAGATTAGCAAGACCAGACATGGATGTGGAGGACTTAAGGGATAATCGTGCGTGCTGTGTGTATTTGTATTCTTGCTTGGATAACTCTTAATCTGTTCGGCGCTCAAGTCATTTGTGGGGCCGTTAAATATAGTATAATATTTAGAGAAGAACAACATACACGGGACTTAAGAATCTAACGATTTGTACGCTTGTGTATTTGGGTTGTTTCTGGTACAAATCGCGCACACTAACCGGGAGATATACAGTACACACATAAATATCGTAGTTATAATTATATATATATGGTATATATACTAATTGCATACACATTCCAGCAAGCTAAACACAAACCAATTAGATCTGTCCATAGAAGTGACAGATCAGTCCATATTAGGTACAGTTACAGATAGGTATATCTGCTACGTAGAGTTGGTTTTTAAGGATGCTTTTAAAGACTCAATAATCAAGAAAAAAATAGAATCGGGCAAGGGATACGTCATTCGTCATACAATCTTACGCTATGGGCATTCCAATTAAAACACAGATAGAGACTAAGTACTGGCTATACATATTATATATATATATAGAGAGAGAGATATGAAGTACTAGGTCTGGAACTGGAAACTGGGTAACCAAAAAGAAAAAACACATAAAATATATATCTGTGGGCGTGTTGGTGTGTCATACAGCGGTGTTCGGTATTGGGTACAATTGTCGTTCAGACAGTACCGGAAACATAAATACCCATATTTATATATGGGATGTATATATTTGGGCCTTCAACTGCCGTCACTTACATCTGCCAGCTGGAATTCCTCAGAGTCATCGATACTGGGCACAGTGACCTTGCCCTGGGATACGTTAAAGTAGTCGTAAATGTTATCAGAGAGCAAGCACATGTCTACATATAGTCGGAGAGAAGGTATTTTGGTTTAAACAGCAACAACAACAAAAAATAGAAGAGTATAGAACAGAGCTTATGGGCTAAGTCAGATAATGTGTCTAAGGATCTATGTGGCCTCTCAGTGTATCTGTGTGTGTTTGTTTGTGTATGGGCGTGTGTGTGCTGTGTTGTGCCTTGTGTACAGGGAGGGTTGCCCCACCCAAAATTAGACTGGTGCAATATGTATATATATATATTTATATATTATTAATATTTTTTTTTAAGCCAGGAGCGGGCTTCTCTCAAGTACCTATGGCATTTCAATACTCAAAATATATATAGTTGCTACCCGGTGTCAAAACGAATCGTAAAATTTTGGTTGGCTAGGTCCACAGAGACCTCCTGCTCCCAGCGTTTTGGGATAGTTTTAAGGTACGGTTACATAACTAGGTGAAAGGTGCAAACTACAGCAAAACGCGAAAGATATAGATATACTAACAGAGAAAGTGAAGAAAAGACAGAGAGAGTGAGAGTGTGATAGAGAGAGAGAGAGTGATAAAGAGAGAGAGACAGAGAGAGAAAGCGTAAGATAATTCCGGAACAACACTTGAAAATTAACACACTGTAAAATATATAATATATATACAAAGTTTTTATAGCTACGACTACATTATACTTGAATCGGAAAGTCAGGGCGTGTACGGTTCAAAAACAACTTCAAATTGTGGTGTCGCACATAAGAGATAGAAAATACAAGAGAGAGAGATAGAGAATTTTTTTTTTATAATTTTTAAATATTTTACAAAAGTTCTTGTGGATCTGGGTTCTTTTTCGGAACGGGTTTTTTCTTGATAATTATTTGGTTTTTTTCTTGCGTCGCCGGCAACACAACTTACATCGGTTAACTCAAATTCTTCACCATCGTTGACACCGGGTATCCGTGTTTTACCCTGGCAAATGCCAGGATAATCACCAATATGTTGGGTAAGAAATACCATCTCTAGTTATTGATTGGAGTTTAGCATTAAGTTCAATTCAAATACTCCAGATACAAAATACAGATGTGTAGAATAGTTTTGTTTATAATGAGTACGGCCCTAAAGCTAGCACTGCCTACAAAAAACCTAGCTATATATATTTTTTAATTCTAGTTCTTGGTTAATTCGTTATAGGGTTAGGGTTATATTTTGGCTTAGCTTGATTTTGCGTTTGGTTTGGTAAAAAGCGTTATGAATTTTGGGGGACAGACATGACAGGTTAACATACATTGATATATATTGAATTGATATATGTATATATATATATAGGATATTTTGAGTACAACATTGAAGAGACGACACGGGGGACACATAGTATATATATGTATATGCATGTGTTTATGAAGAGCTGATGCTCCGACAAGGCACAGACAAATATGTTAACATTAAGTTAAAGTTTTTTGGATTAGAACACAAATGTTTTGTTGAACAGATATATGAATATAAGGTGAGCATATGTAAAGGTAACCATGTTCTGTATGGCCTTACATCCACTGCGACCCATTCTTCGGCATCGTTAACACTTGGTATTGTCGTTTTGCCTTGTGATACGATACGATAATCGTAAATGTTGTTCGACAGTCCACAGTATTCTATATACATTTATATATATATGTATATAGAATATATGGGATATATCGGGGAACAACAGTTGACGATAGTTCGTACGTTATGTGGTTTTTGTGTGTATGTTTGGAGGGGATGTACATGTATGTAAAAGGTAGAGAATATTATTTAATAAGGATATTCTGCAATATGTTTGGTGTATTAGTTTGGGGATATGGTATGAGTTAGGAGGATAAATGAATATCTGGGGATACGGGGTGGGTATTTAATGGAGGGGGATCGCACGCGATTACTATAAAGCCTTCAACGTATTCCAATAATCCGTATCTTTGGATGGTTTGTTTGGCAATTTGGAATAGATGTCAGCTACAGCTAGCCAGATAGAAGCGTATAGACCTACGTAACGCTACGATATACGATAACGGTAACGGTAACGATAACGATAGCGATAACGATTACGATACGCTATAAGCTATAGCCATAAGTTAACCAAAATAATTACTCAATTACGATATTACGAAAGAAAAGAAATTAAGTGTCTAGTAGTAAGTGTAACCAAAATACAATTAAACAATATAACACGCTTGTATCATATGAAGGACAATTACATCTGTGAGGTTGAATTCCTCAGAATCATCGATACTGGGCACAGTAACCTTGCCCTGGGAGACAATGTGGTAATCGTAGATGTTATCGGTCAAACCACAGATTTCTAAACAGATTGAGTGGAGATTGTGTAGAAAGTAAATAAATAATATAGCCTTTTGGTGTATTTAAAGTGTATGGGTGTGTGTAGTATGTGTGTGTGTGAGTGTGTGGGTGTTTGTGTTCAGTTGTTGAACCTAAACCACTGCTAGAAGTACTGAAAGATATTGTAAATATAGGCAAGAGACAGCCCTTGCTCTGGCAGAGAGAGAGTTGAGAGTAGGTGAACTGGATGAACTGGATGATAATGCGAGCATATTTTTATACCTTTGACACCAGCAACGGCACCGGACATAATCTGGTAGAAGATATGGTAGGAGCGCTCCAGGGACTGCTGAGAGATGACACGAGCCTTCTCCAACAGATCTGTAAAGGGTATGCGAGAAGAGAGTTGGTTGTAGAACCGGTTGAGAATAACAAAAAAAGGGGGGGTTTGCAAAACTTACAGGTCTCAATATCAGCACCAGCCAGTTTACCAGATGGACCGAAATGAAT